AAGCCCTCAAGCACACTTAACACCCTCAATAGTGTATCCTGAAGCAAAGGTGTGGCTACAGGATCTGGAGGAACCTGGTCCTCCCTGCCATCAATCTGAGGTTCTGTAGAGACCTCTCTAGCACGACCTCTCACTGGTGCTGCTCCACATCCACGACCTCTGGCTACTGTCGTACTACTAGCACGACCTCTAGCTCGAGATCTACCCCTACCCCTAGCTGGGGCCTCAACAACTGCCTCGGGAAGTGCCTCCCCTCTACCACCAGTAACATTAGTTCTAGTCCTCGTCATCTGTCAAAAGAGTATACAACAACTCAGTACTAACGAAGGTAACTACGCACGATAAGAAAAAATGAACAAAAGGAAGTTTCCTAGTAATCTTTATAGCCTCTCAGAGATGAGTACAGACGTCTCCGTACTGATCCTTGAGACTCTACGTAGACTCGGCTTGTATACACGTGAGACCTATGAACCTGGGGCTCTGATACCATTTTATCACGACCCAAAAATGGGTGTGATGACACTCGTCTTATCCCACCAAGACAAGTCAGCCTAAAACCATATATCTAACAAAGTGCGGAAGTAAATGACAATCCAACAACAATTCCTATTATGAAAACAAGTCATATTAATCCAATCCCCAAAATCAGGTTGTCACGTGCACAAGCCTCTAATGTAAATATTAGAATTGAAATAAAATAGAAGTCTAACATGAAGTTGTCTTTCAAGTAAAAACAAAGTCATAAACTGGAGTAGGAAAGTTCGCTGAGATGACAAGCAGCTACCTCACAATCCTCCACAAGATGCCTCGGAAACGAAAAGAATGACAGGTATCACGAAGATCCAGGCTCGTATCCTACAAAAATTTATAGAAGCAAGGGGTGAGTACCAAACCACGCGGTACACAACAAGGAAACCTCTAAACACAAGTTAAGTGAACAAAATACGGGCACTTCTTACACCATATCTAAACCTCCGCGCTACAGTCTAATAGTTTACAGTTTACCAAACACACAACTCAATAACCACACTCTATCAGTTTACACATTCTCAATAACAACTCAATATTCAACAGTCACAAGCTTCACAGAGAAGTTTACTCACAAGATCAACAAAACACGTGTTCAAGTTCATCAATAATCAAATGTGTAATGCCATGAGATGCAATGTCAAGTATAGTGATGCATGTCTTCCCTAACGATACACACCCACTGTCTCTCAGTCCGGGACCCATGAGGGACACATCTGTCCATGCATCTGTCGCGGCGCACGACACGACCCTCAATAATAGTAACCTTCGCGGCGCACGATACGTCCCTCGAAATATAATATCCATCGCAGCGCGCGATACGACCCTCGAAAATAGTACATCCTCTTACCACAACCATGTCTCAGATACAATGCAAATGACATGCTAAAATGAAAAGGAGGAGATAACTATTTGATAACAAAGCACAATTTGCAACAAGAAATACAACACTAACAAATAAGCAACAAGTCTCCAAATCATTCTCAACATCACACAAGGAAATACACGAATTTCGTACGCTTAACAAGAGTTTAGAAATCCACTTGCCTCAAATAGTTGAACAATCACTATGAGACTTGAGCCTTTCCTTTTAGTTTTGCTTCCAACTCAAAGCAATCTATTCACATTAATAATCACAATAAAATTTCGGAAATAACAAAACTCATGTTACTATAGGTCTAACCTAAACCCAAAAACTCACTCAAATCTATAATCAAATTCCTAATATTGATGTCAACTAGCTAGATGTCAACTTTCATATTTATTCAAGTTTCAAGCTTCGGTAAGTCTTCATTCATTCACCTAATATTAATAATATTCATAAAATTCAATACACATAATATTCAACTACTCATTTCAATAAAACAAAACTTGAATTATAATGTTATAATTATAAGAAGAATCCGATAAAAAAATGATTAACTACCACTTTATAATATATTTTATGCAAATAAACCGATTTCCCCTTCTTCTGTATTCCCATTCCAATTCAATTTATTTTATTTTCTTCCAGGAACCACACTAAACAAACCATTAATTTTCCATTCATGTTATAATATTTATGACAATTGTTTTTTCTTTTCCTTCTTTTGTTTTTCTTTGTTTGGCAATACATACTAATTGTCTATTATAAAACCAATCAACTAATCACAATTAAATCACTAGATAACAACTAACAAATTGATTTCAATATTATCACAATTTCCAACAATTCACATGATTTACCTATTCTGCATTTTTTTTCATATGCTCATCATTAAATAAATTATGCACACATATATATACTTTATTATATAATATTGTTATATGCACACATCTATGTGCAGAATCTAGAAGATTAAAGGAGAAAACTTACCTAGCAGTTCGTAAGCCGCACAGAAACCCTTCGTCCTTTTTTTTCTTTTCCTTATTTTTTTTTTGAATTTTTTTAAGTACTAAAAGTGTTAGGTTTTACCCACATATTTAATTAAATAAAGGCTAAATAGTATAGGGTCTTAAATAAATTATCACTTTAGCCCATAAACTATCGATTAATTAACTTAAGTTAAATAAATATTCAAAATTCTAAAGAGAAGCTTTTGGGTCATTACATTTTCACACTGATGGGAAAAGTTAATAGAAATTCATGAAATATATTACACCTTTGCAAAGTCTATGTTTGTAAATTGATGTTAACTACGTATAGTTACTCTACTTATGCATGTGGAATTACTATTAAATATGTACATATTTATAGACAGAAACAAATAGATGGGCTTAATCTATGTAGTTTACCAATCACAAATCAATAGACATGTATTAACACAAATACTTGACAAATTATTTTTTTATCGTGCTTATCAATGAAAGTGACAAATATTAGTGATCTAGTGGTAGAACCGTGCCCAATCACAATACTTATGACCCGAATTGTATTTTTCCAATGATGCATTTATAATTGCTTAATTTAAGAAAATTGATGTATTGAACTTTTTCGTTTTTACAAAATCGATCTAATTAATTGGTTTTAATATATTGACTTTTTAATTGACGAATGGACCATGTCTACTTCTTATGAAGCACTTGTATTATTTTTTTTGTAAGTTGTCACTTGTAATTATGAATAATTGTAGCCAAAAAAAATTATATTTTCTACGAATTTTTTCGTAGCAACTAGTTTAATTATCCACTACAAATTTTAAGCATGCTATTTAACACCTTACATATTTTGTGATAATTTTTTTGTTGTCACAAAATCATATATTGATTAGAGACAATAAAATATTTGTCACCAATTATTTATATTATTAGTGATGAAATAAATGTCATAATTAAATTATAAATTTTCATAGATAAAATTTATGATATTTAACTACGAACTCTTATTTGTCGTTATTAACAATATATTCTTTTGGATGAAATTATAAGACAAAAAATATGTTGTCATTCATTAGATACGTTTATAAGTAACGAAATGATGTGTCACATAACTTTAAATTCGTGACTAATACTACTTAACAAATGACGCCAATTAATTATTTTGTGGAATACTTTAGTGGACAAAACTTCGCTACGTATTTTTTATGTTTCGTAACTAAAAGTATGTGTCTCATATATAAGAGCACCAAAATTAAATTTTGTCACTAAAAGCAAATAATTAGTGATGAATTTGATCTCGTAATTTGTCATGAATTACATATACTATTAGTAACGAAATAATGTGTCACCGATAACTTTACGTTTGTGTCTAACACTACTTAACAAAATGACGCCAAATAATTTTTTGGTAGGAAATTTTAATGGACAAAAATTTACTACGAATTTTTATTTTTCATCACTAAAAGTATGTGTCTCATATATTTAAGCATGAAAAGTAAATTTTGTCACTAAAAGCGAATAATTAGTTACGAATTTGATGTCGTAGCTAATTAATTCGTAGCTATATATCATATTTGTTGTAGTATTCAATTCACTTTTAAATCTTTAAAAGTGTAACTGGTTTTGTTTTAATTCAATTTAATATTTTTTTCCTTTAACAATGTAACTGATTTTTTTGATGTATTGAATTTAATATATTCGGCTTCTTTGCTATATATTCGGATATCACTAATTTTGAGGGATTTTTATAAATTAAAAATAAGTAGAGATAAAATGTAATTTAGATCCTTACACTATGGGATTTATGTAAGTTATATTTATTTAAAAGAGTCATTGAATTTATGGTTATACGTTGGTACAATAGTTTTATATTTTTAAGTTTAATTAAATTATCATATGGATCGATGTTGCGTACATGCTTTAACTAGCGTGCACTAACCATTGTTGATGCACCCATCGTCTTGAAATCTAGGATTCGCCTCTGATACTCAATACATTCTGAAATACAGATTAATCAAATCACAGTTGGATATAGCATAAGTGAAATAAATTATATCTAATTTGACTCGTATTTATTCGAGATACTTGTATTTGAGTACACTTAATTTATCTGATAAAGTTATTGTGATATGAAATGTGATACTTCACTTTAATTTATCTTCTCCCTCTTATTCATTAATAGACATCATCGGTTTTACATCATAGCCGCGCCATTTCACCAGAAGGCTTTCCAAAATTCCTTCATTTTTTTAAGACATTAGGTATAGTTTGGATACTTATCGTGGAGATATGAGTGATGGTTATGGTGATTTTGTGGAGATATGAGTGATGGTTATGGTTATTTTTTGGAGATGGTATTGTGAAAGAATGTGTGAGTATATGAAAAATAGATTATTGATATATACGATATACATTATGGTAGTGACACTCCCTGAAAATCAGTGTATGCGCCTTGTATATCACTGTATACAGTTCATATATATTATGCATATCATTATACATAATTAAAGAAAATGACGCAAAAGATTAGAGAAGACATTATACCTTCTAAATATATTTTTCAACTTCATTGAGTACTCTTATTTTCCTTTGTAACAAAAAAAAAATACATTTATCTAAATGTTACTAAGTATTAATTTGTGGTGAATGTTTGTGAGAGTATATGTTATAGCTCGAAAAGAAGGCCTAAGTGCAACGTCTTCATCCCACGAGAGTTGTATAAGTTGTATCAGCTCTTCAAGTTTCTCATCTTCCTGCTCCGGAAGTTGTGGCCTTAACCCATTTTCTGCAACTTCTAATGCTATCTATTATTCCATCACAATGAGTTAGAAGAAAAATAGCTTCGTCTTATATTACTTGTTTACATTACTATAAATGTATATGATCTGAATTACTTGTCGATACATAAAATCAAGATAGAATTAGTTTTTTTTTTAATTTTACTTTATCCATTAGAATTAGTTCTTTTTTAAAGTATAAATATTGCAGGGATTGTTTAGTAGTGTATTAAAAAGATAATCAATGCATTAGTCTTGTGTGTTACTAATGTACCCAAATTGGTATTCTTTTCCGACCTATGTATAATTAATGTATGCATTAATGTCTTCTATATTGTATATTAAGGTGTGTAATGCTAATACCATGAATTCTAGATATTAGCAACACAATGATTTTAATGTATGCATCAACTCAATTAAAGACCCAATTGCCCCTCAATAGCTTTTTCTATTTTTTTCCATCATAATAGTGAAGGGTATCTGTGTAAGTAACTTTTTTAATGCAATGCATAAAAATAATCTAAGTATAATTAATGCAAGCATAATTAATACATGCATTGCTAATGCAAGCATTATTAATATATATACTCTTTAACATTATTTTTATATACACTATCAAACTAACATTAAAGTTCCAAAAAAATCTGCCATTGTTAATTTTGGTATTCATGGATAACGCTCACGATATTTAAAAGAGTTAAAGGTTATGGTAGTAAACATATGTATCCTTGTTATTAATTATGATTCTTGTGAGGAGCATCTAAAAGAGAAAGTGGACCATATGGGACAGAAGGAATACTAATACTTTTTCTCTCTCTTATAAAAGGGTGTGATGTAGACAGTCTTTCGTAATGCAAGGAATTAAGGGTGTACCTTAGAAGGATTATAGTGAGTTTGAATGTAAGGATATTCTCCGGTGAGAAGCTCATTGAGAATAATGGCAAAACTATAGACATCCGACTTTTCATCATAAGGTTCTGATCGAATCACTTCTGGTGCCATGTATACATATGTGCCTGAAATCTCAAAACTTTGATGTTTAATCAATAAATATACCACACAAAAACTTATTACTTTCTCTTTTAGTCAATCCTAACAAGCGAAGAATGACACATTTCTATATTAAGTAACAATTTGACTGTTTTAACAGTCACACAATTAATTTCTGTCATTCATTTTGGACAACAAGTTTTAAAAGCCATCTTTTCTTTCTTAAACGACGCGTTGAGTCAATCTATCTCATATAAAATGAGAGAGAGAGTAATGAACAAGAGAATTAGCTAACCTGTTTCTCCTGTTAAAGCCTTTTCTTCATGATTCAAGAACCTAGCATGTCCAAAATCTGCAATTCTAACATGCATAGAATCATCCAAGAAAATGTTACTCGGTTTTAAATCGCGATGAATCACCATAGGCTTGTGTTCATGAAGATATTGCATTCCTTGAGCAATTTCCATTGCTTTTACAACTCTCTCTTCAAAAAGTGGAAGAGGAATAGCTCTTTCTTTTCTTCTTTTACCAGGACCATGTAGCCAATCTTTTAGCGTCATTGCTAATAACTCTGTCACTATCCATCCGTGCTGAGGAGGATCAAGGCATGCCCCCATAAGCTGCAGCACAAAACGATGACGCTGCCTTGATAACGTCTCAACCTCTTGAGCAAAGAAGCTAACACCATTTTCATTCAAGAGGAAGAACTCAGGCAATACACATTTGACTGCAACTTCATATCCTCTCCATTTTCCTCTGTATATATGTGCTGTGCTTCCTTGAGCCACTTCTTCTTTCATTTCAATCTGTGTTTCCATGAATACACGCGCATGTCATCTAAGGGCCCGTTTGACCATAAATTTTGCAAGTAAAACTTGGGGAAAAACTTGACAAATTTTGTTTGTTCATACACTTTTTTATTATTTGGCAAATTTTTTTGGCAATTTTTCCAAATTCCCAAATACTAGAAAAAACTAGTATTTGGGCCAAATTTCATTATTTGGAAAGTTTTAGAAATTCAATTTTTACCCTTAACTTTTTATTTTACAAAAATTATATATTTATTGACACCGACCAATTCAATTAGCTCCCTTCTACATGCGTTCTTTTGATTTCATACATTCCTTTGTTACAGTTAGTCTTGCTGAACTAGCTACTAAATAAAACATGAATTGCATTTATTTTATTTTGGTAGATAAATATTACGTTGTTGATGTTGGTCTAAGGAACACAAGAGGATTTTTAGCTTCATTCATTGGAATGCGCTATTATTTGAAGGACTATCGAGGAAGTGAAAGAGAGCCTAAGAATGGAAAAGAGCTATTTAACTATAGACATGCTTCTCTGCGCAATGTAATTGAAAGAACTTTTGGTGCGTGGAAAAGTAAATTCAGAATACTAAGACAAGACATGAACAACTATGAATGTGACATACAGGTGAAAATAGTAATTTCTTGCGCTGTATTGCATAATTTTTTACGTGAACACCAAAGTAATGATGAAATATTCAATGAATATGAAAATGATGATATTGTTGTTGATAAAAGTGACGAACTACTGGCTCAGGGTAACAACATCGCTTCATCTTCTCGATCGTCTGATTCGAAAATGCAAGCTCATCGAGAAGAGATTGTTCATAAAATGTGGGAAGATTATAGTAAAGAATAGGTTGAACTCTTTCAGTTGAGAAAGTATAGGTTCTTTAGTGATTGCAATATTTATTTCCTTTTGTTTTCTTCTCTTTTTTTTCCCCGAATTTATATTAGTTGTATTTTCATTATCATGATTTGTACCAAGACCTTTTCACTATACGAATATTTACTACAATGATTCTTGTTGATTTGTTGCGGAAGTCATAAATCTTGTTACGTGAGATTTCTATTGTGCTATGTAATACAAATTTATGGTTAGTTTGATAGTTTAAAAAACTTATGGGTATAAATCATATTTCTTAAAAAAATGAAATATGTTTCTCAAATTCTATGGCCAAACACATGATAAATTTCACCTAAATTTTCATCCAAATAGTATTTGCCAAAAATATTTGAATATCTATGGCCAAACGCTAGCTAAAAGTTTATGAGCTGGTTTGGCTTTAACTTATAAAAAAAAGTATTTTACAAGTAGTTTTTAAAAATGTTGAACTGTGATAACTTTTATGTTAAAAAAAATGAAAATTAGGGGAGTAGCGACTCTAACTGGTACGTTATTTTTAACTTTGTCAAACACTCTCAAAAGCTAAAAATGACTTAAATATAGGTTTGACCAGCCTTTAAGTCAATTCAAATGGGTTATTACAGAAAACAAATTTATTATTAAGTGCAGTGACTAACAAGGATTGTGGTCAGTGGCGAAACCAGGAATTTCACGAAGGGTGTCCAAAAAGGGAAAAAGATTGTTGCCAGTGAGATTCAAACACATGAGCACTTAGGACTCTTTCAAGACTTCTAAAATTACTAGGCTACAACACCTTTTTTTTCTTATAAAGGGTGTCCAAAATATGTTATTTAATTACTTTGTGTATCATTTTACTTATATATACGGTATTATTTTCCGACTGAAAGTGTACAATTCTATAGGATAGCTACACCCATGGTTGTGGTGGAGTGGTAATTAAGTATTCATTCATCCTTAGTCAAGAAGTCTTGGGTACGGAGGCTCCTTTGTTAGGGAGCGCTTTACCTCAACGTGGAACTTCCTGAAATGAGTCGATATTTAGTCGGGCTCTAATATGAGTACCGCCACAAGGAATTGTGCCCAACAACGGCCACAATAATATCAAGACTTCAAATCTTAGTGATTTTCTGGTCATATGTATATATCTTTATTAACTATGTGAACAAAATAGTATTTCTGCAAAAAAGCTCCTAGCTAGTCTTAATAAGAGACAAACAATAGTAATAACTATACGTACCTCATGGGGTTCAATATACCAACCATTCAACTTGGCCTGATGAATGAGGTATGTGATATCAGAGTGGGGTTGTTGTTGGGGTGGTGTTTGTGGACTGGAAGTGGCATGGATAATAGTAGTACTACTATTGATTGATTCTTGTTGTTTTTCTTTGTTGTTGATGATTAACTCTAGAAAACCATTATCTTGTGCTACCTGAAGACAATACCTCAAATAATTTTGTGTCCTTTCAAGTCTCATTTTGTACATGCTCTTCATCTCTTTCTGCTTCTCTAATTCCTTCTCCCTTTCTTCCACTTTTTCCTAGTAATTAGAAAACATGAACATACTCATTAGTTAGCCTGAACTAATGGTAATTTCTAACTACTTTATAAGGAAATAGTTGAGCTAGGTGAAGAACCACACCAATTCAACTCTTGTTCATTTTTGTATCTAGGCCCGTACCGCTTTAATATGTATCACCAAGGTCTAAAACTAACTTCCTCATATATCACAAATCTGTTGTGTATTTTATGGATGTAAGATTTGCTAAGAGTGTTACAGGAAAACTAACTAAGTGATACATGTAGAGACGAACCCAGGATTTGAAAACTTTGGGTGCATCAAACCATGATCTCTAAATTAAACTTGAAACAAAAATAAGTAGAATTTGAAGACTTTGGGTGTATTAAGTATGATCTTTCAGTTAAAACAAAAATAATGAAATAGAATTTGAAGATTTCGAATGCACCAAACATGATCTCTAAGCTAAACTTAAAACAAAAATAATGGAATAATGCTCTAGCTAGATTCAAACCATGGTCTCGCTAGCTAGTAGTTCCTCTGCTTTGTACCATCCACACAAGACAACTCCTATATATGCTCGTCACGGTGCACTATTAATTGCAATATCCTAGTTTCTATCAGATTATCAAGATATATATAAATACACATAATTTTTTTCACAACCCCACTAATAAAAGTGGGCCCGCCTCTGCTAATGCATGTACCATATGATATAATGTAATGAACCAACAAATATATATATCTTAAATTCATTTGCATGAAATATATAGGCTATATATACCTGTTGAAGGTGGTGATATTGGGGAGTTTGTACAAGTTTTATGTTGCGTGAGACTTTAGGCCCCAAAATCAAACAGTCAGACAGGCTTTTACACCATCCGCCGCCGCCGACGTTGGACTTGAGCGGAGCACCACTGCTTGTGGCGGATGGAGAACTAACCGGACTACACATGCCTCTCCTTTTACCCTTCATCTTAATTCAATACCTTAATTATTCTCAAAAGTTACCTTAAATTTAAAGCACCTTAAATTTAAAGCATAATATAATATAATTAGTCTTTTATGTTATATAGCCAATAATTTTAATGGAGGATGAAGACAGAATTGGCGGACCTTGTAATGAGCCGTTTTACATTATGGTATTTTTTGTTTTCTTTGGACGGCCTTGGGGTGTGTAAAAAATTACATCAAATGTTCTATAATGTTAAAATGGTTTTAAATAGGTAAATTTTATTTCAGAACAGATTAAGAAATTAAAGTTAAAAGGTCCCTAGTTAAAATTCATATTCAAGTTAGATGCATTTATGTACGTTATTATTGAGACCATCGAACTAGTATGTAAAATGAATAATTTTAAATAAGCATATTTATCGTCAAAAGATGTGATGCAATGAATGAGATTGTTGTTCCTTTCTTATTAGACAGTGGCGTACCCATATGGTAGTCAGGGTGTCCAATTAGTCAGAAACAAAATACCATATATATAAGTAAAGTGATATACGAAATGATTAAATAACATATTTTGAACACCTTTGATGTGACAAACTGTTATAGCTCAATGGTTTCACCTCTTTGGAATGAGAAAGTGCTCGTATGTTGGTATCTCAATAGTCAGAGATTTCAAATTTGAACCTTTTATATTAAAAAATTCTTGATAGAAAGTGTTATCCACGAATGGTTCAGACCCCTAACGCAACTATAAATTAGTCAAGCTCCAATAAATTCAAGATTTAAGCGGGAAACTTTTGTAAAAAAAATAAAAATAATAAGGCCGTGGAAGTGATGGGTAATGCTTTTTAGAATTGTTTGAAATCTGCAGACTTAAGTATTTTTCCTTGTACGTACGAGTTTCTCGAGGCTTTTAGATACGAACAAAATGTTAGATGAAATCTATAGACTGTAACACCTGTTATTTTCGATTCCTCCTAGCTCCCAAAAATATATGTGATAAACTACATCAAATTAAAAACTAATCTGAATTTTATTTTTATTGATCGATCATCTTATCATTTTGGAAGTGTATTTTTTAGTGACTATTATAAGAAAATGATTATTTCATAATGTTTTACATATATTAAATTATTTCTTTTGTCGCAATTAATATGATATTAATAGTTTATAGAGAATCAATTTAACTAAATTTTATACAAATCGGATTATATCATAATTAAAATTTAGATATTTAAAAACTATATAAAAATATTTTAAATTACAAAAAATATTATTCATATTTATAATTTTAAAAATATTTATTTATCAAATTTTACACAATTGAACTCTCAAAAGCAAATAGTATTGCAAGAGAAAGTAATGAAACTGAATGGGAAGAAAATTGTTCCTTTCTATTAGAGCTCGAAATATGGGTTGGTCCACCCCATTCGACCTAATTCATATAGGTTTTGAGATTTGGCAGTTCAAGTCGAACTAATCCATTTTTCGTGTGGGCCAAAAAATGATTAGTCCAGCCCACAAGTATGTGGGTTACGTGCTTTGCCAGACCATCTTTCTTTTCTTAAAAGTATATTTTTATAATTTTTAAATTAAATTATAATTTTAAAATATTATTATAAATATCGACAACACAATATTATATAGTGTTAGTGTTACTACTTCTTAATCAAATACACAAATAAGATTATCGGTATAATATTCATTAAGTTTGATTTCA